TCCCCCTCCCCCCCCCAAAAAAAACATTTCAGTAATTGTTCATTTTAACTTGTCACCAAATCTTCAAGTAAAAATAGTTTCAGATAATCATTAGAACAGATAAAATCGTATCGCAGCATGACATGCGTTCAGCCTGTGTTATTCTACATAATCTGTAATATAGTGTGTATATGTGTGTATATATATATATATATTTGACGCTCGTGACAACCATGAATAAAACAAAGAACTAAGGTCGCTATCAAAGAATATATCCTCGACAACATTCCCCCGGAAACTACTCAAACAACATTCATTACAATTGCAGATCAATTAGTAAAACGAATACAATTGTCAATTTACTTGAAAAACGATATTATTCTGTACTATCTCTGAGCCGGTTTCGACATGTTTCTAAAAACCGAAATTTTCTAGTGCAGATGAAGTCCACTTTTGATGAAGTCCACCACACCAGATCGAGAAAACACCAACAAGTCATCCGACTCTATCATCAGATGAAAAATAACGTCTCTTTGGCATTCAGAAAGAGGATAACCCAGAGCGTCTTTCGGTTTGGAATCGTGGGGACGAACTTCACTCACCTGCAGCACCCGCTTCGGGAGGCCCGTCTTCTGCGAGAGCTGCTTGAGGTCTTTGGCGTCGGGGTTGTGGTTGATGGCGAAGTAGGACTTCATGGTGCGCAGCTGGTGGTGCTTGAAGGAGGTGCGCATGCGCTTGGTGCGCTGCTGCCCGTTGGAGCCCGGCATGCCCCCCGGGGTGCCCGGGGCCACGCGGAAGGGCACGTCCAGGTAGTCCGCGTTCAGATCTGCAACAGATGCGCACGCCAGGCGTTACACACTGAAATACCTTCCGATCGTCCACCCATTGTTTTGATACCTTACTAGAGGGTGGATTTTGATGCTATAGAACATCGCCAAAAATGATCAATAAAATGCCCTTAACATGTTTTTAAAATATCCTAAAAGCAAAGAAAAATAACATACAAAATTTGATCAAATCCAGTTCGGATTAACAACTCAAGCAGTTGGATGCGTTACTGATGTAATCGAGTCTTCTTCTATTTGTTCAAGTGAACTCAGCTTGCAAACTTTTGGTTTGGACCATTCTGTGCCAGGAAATATCTGACATGGCGCTGTAGTCGACACAGGAACCTGATATTACATACATATTCACAACGGCTGGCATTACAATTTCCGAGTGAAGAAATGAAATACGCTACTCATGAATTACGTGGAGAATATATTTTGCCTCTCCTTAATATTATTTGAGACAAGTTTCATTAAAATGATATTAAAATCGAAGATATCAGCGAAAAATGTTTTAAAAAGGATGAAAAAAGTAAATAAAGACTTATTAGTCGAAATAGACGGAAAATGAAGAAAATATATAAAATGGATACATTCCTTTAGTCATACATAACATAAAATAATATCTATACTGAAAAGCCTTGTGATATTAAAAATGACATTACATTAATACACCCTATACTTTAGCTATTGACAACTGATACATTGCTGGGCGTCAGAGGGATGACATCATTTAGTAAAAATAAAATTGTTGTTTTCATTCTATTCAAATACCATTAAAACCCGATCCATAGATTATCATGAAGTGATTTAATGAAAACAACAAATTATTTATAACGTGATAATACCAAAGAAACATTCATAAATGATTTTTTTTTGTCAAGTGAAGTCACACTTCATTTGTTTACGAAAAAGGGGAAACATCTTCTACAACCAATGTTGACCATTATATGACATACAATTTTACATTATTTTAGTGCTGACATTATCATGAGTATATCATATCTCAGAAAAACATGCATTTCAGAAACGTAAAACAGTTCAGAGTATAAATATTATAATTTAAATAGCATAAATTAATTTCTAATATAATGACAATAATTAATTAATCTAAATTACACAATAAAAATAAATTTTAAAAGTTAACGAAGATAATTTTGCTTTTGTTGAAATCAAGCCCCTTCTGCGTCAATTCCCCTTTTGATCTCCCTCAAAAACTGGTCTAACTCCCCCTCCCCCCAAAGTCTCCATACGAAAAGGTGCTATCCTATTTTAAGAAGCCTCATGGTCACAAACATTCCACTTAAAGGATAACATATTTTTAATACTCCTCCGGAATAGCAACAGCGTTCTGATTCAACGCTGCCTCTCAACACTGAAGTCGTCGATAAGAAACGCATTCCCTTCTGATAAGCTACAAACACACGACCAGTGGGAGAACGGCGGAAGGTCCTCGGTTCTCGCCAGCGAGCGCGGCACAATTCAGAGGTCACCTCCCCGCGTGAACACGCACCGCGCTTTGCTCTTCGCGTGCGAGCGATAACCCGCACGCCCGCCCTCGCCCCGCCANNNGCCCCTCCCCGCCGGCGTCCCCACCCCCGCCGATTGCGACGACAGGGTCAATCCTCGGGCAAGCGCTTTTTCTCAGTTCCAGAGTTCACTATTACGTTAAATGACAAAAATTTACAAAATCGTCTAGTTGACTCGAGATTTCAAACAAATCTATGGGCAATTCGGTATGTAGAAATGAGTTGTATTTATAGATTTTGATATGTCTACATTTCTGCAATTCACATGTCTGAATACAAATTTTCTGTTGACCGATGTTCTGTGGAATGGAATAATCTAAGATAATTAATGATTGTGGTGTTAGCTGTTGTTTTATTCCATTATAGTTTGAAGGACAGGGGCGACGGCAACAATTTTTTTGATTGAAAGATTAGTGATTTCTGGCGCGTCAACAACTAAAGTCATTAGTGCCGTAAATGTAGTGCACGTTTTTCTTGTGAGATGGCGGTGATCTCCCTTGGATTGTGAGAACCGGCACCGACCTACCGTTGTGCTAGCAGGGTTTTCCCTGACCAGGTATCTCCTATCAGCGGGGCACCACCGAAGCCGTGGCAAGGTCTAAGCTCGACCGGTCTCCCGGAAAAGAAGAATTCTCATCCAGAATGCGACAGAACTCGACCTAGCTCTCTAGCTAGAATCGAATCCCCTGCCACCGTCGGAAGTGTAGGTCTTGGTCCTGCCGATCAGAGGGACTGCAGTGACATCTGTTGGTGCCCTGAGCCTCTCTCGGTGCTGTCCACTGAAGGCCGGAAGTTTCCTGCAGAGAGGCCACGGCGAGCGCAAAATCGCACTGAAGGTGTCGCATCTGCTGGGGACGTCTCGCCCTCACCAATTGCATCGAGATAAACAGCACGAACCTCTAAGGTTTTTGAAGCGTCTTGCCTCGTCCAGATTCTCTACAATTTAATCGTTTATTTCAGAAAGCCTTCAAACACCAAATCCCTCACTTCGAGAAAACTGAGAATAAGTCTCCCAATTTTTCAGATTTCAAATATTTTTTTTATTAAATGAGTTGATAAATTAATATTTTTCAAATAAATATGCAGTAAACGATGTGTCTATCCTCCTGGAACAATAATCCGTCTCTTAAGAGTGTTTTATATTTTGGCATTTAATGGGTTTGTGAAACAAACGATTCAATTTAAGTGCCTATCCCACATTATTCTAGTTCTGAGGTATTGAGGATTTTAATAGAACTTCTATAATCTAATTCAGCACTCTTTGCACACTTGCGTGTAAGTCCATAAAGGATTTCAGTAGTATATTACATTAAAACGAAAGTATTTGAAGTTTTACTTAATGCAAAAAGGTCAATATCCAAGAAATGTGGGATAGCGCCTTGTTCTAGTGAGCCCTTCAATTCTGTTGAACAAACGCAAGTACTTTAGTCGTGTACGAATATGTCATCGATATTCGCCCTTCGCGGAAGCGTAGCGGTGCCGCAGCGTGAGTCAGCGAGGGTACAAGATCATCTTCATGAAACCATTCTCGTGCCATCCATCATGTGCCCAATTATGTAATCGAGATAAGGAGCGAGGCATTTGTCTCCGTGAGGCGGCGGCCGTGGAGAAGGGGTGCGTGGAAGCGCGAGGACATCAAAGGCTTTTCCACTGGAGCTGCACGAACTGTACAACACACACACCGCTCTCCCTGCATCCGCCAAAGTTACTTCCCTTTACTCTTCCCTTCCACCCCTCCCTTCCACCCCTCCCTTCCACCCTTCCCTTCCACCCTTCCCTTCCACCCTTCCCTTACACTCATCCCTTACACTCATCATCTCCGCAGGATTCCAATACATAGCTTTTCCTTACACATTTTTTTTTGTTATTTAAGGTCGCATCAACTTCTAGGTCATTAGCGACCACTATTGCGTGTAACGGTATGGTAACTAGGTATGGTAACGTAGTATGATAACTGGTAATGAGGATGACACGATATGAAGATGATAGGGGGTGAAAGGACGAACATAACACAACTATGCCCGAGGCGGGATTCGAACCCGCGAGTCCTTCGGTCCGAGATCGCTACGGCACTACTGCCTTAGCGATCTCGGCCATCCGAACCGCCCCTTAAACATTTGTACAATCTGTTCGCTGTGTTTCTTCTCCATAGTGTTTAAATAGCCACTCTAGACTAAGCATAGGACTTGGGACAACTGTATTCAAATAAATTTTAGACCATCTCTTACTTGCTGACTGGAGCGGGGCGGCCAAAAGTACCTTAAAGAAAATTCAAATTGTACAAAATAAATATTTAAGGCGCATAATTAAATTCCCGTGGTACGTGTCAAGAGCAAAAATAAAACGAACTGAAAATTGAAAAACCATGAATACTTATATCAGAATACCATCTGTAAACGTTTTTGAGGACTTATCAGATGCACATTGACTTACATACTTTAATCTATGACGTTCAGCAGAAGAAATTAAATTATTTCACGGTATCTCAAAGATTAACTACCCCTCACCAAAGTTACATAGTTAAACGCTTCAATAAGAATGCAAATTGAAAATCAAGGATTGTTAAACACGGGAACAACTTTAAAGAATAGAATGTTACAAATTCAAAATCAAAAAATCTCAAAATACTAAATTAAGAACAACCTCAGAAGGAGCATCGAATAAATTAACTTCCCGGCT